GTTGTACCATCAAATAACCATAAAAGAATTTGTACAAAATGTATAGGTACAATCTGAAGTTGTACCATAACGTTAAAGGTACAATTTCATATTGTACCATAAAGGTAAAAAACTATAGCACCAAAACTATATAACATTGTAAAATTCCTCTCTTTTATTATTATATTTTATGGTTATTCATCTTCTCTTTTCCTGGTCTACAGATTCTTCCTTTGGTACAGAAGTACAAAGTCCTTCATCTTAACAGAACAGATACAAGACTAGCAAACAATAATCAGCCTCTAGAAATTCAGAAGCTACGTTGTCGTGTGAATTTCGGTGCACTTAGATTCACTTCTCAAATAGAGGAGCTGGGTAAAAGAGTTATAAGACTTCTCAGGCAAAATGGTCCTTTCTTAGTACTTCACCTGAGATATGAAATGGATATGTTGGCATTCTCTGGCTGTACTCAAGGCTGTAATATTGAAGAAGTGGAAGAACTGACAAGAATGAGGTGAGCCATGGGCATATTTTGTGGGCTACTTTGGCTAACAATGTCTCAGCTTGAATGTTAATCTAACTTCAGAGCCATTTTATCCGATTCCATGAAACAGATATGCTTATCCATGGTGGAAAGAGAAGGTAATAAATTCCGATCTTAAAAGGAAAGATGGATTGTGCCCTTTGACTCCAGAGGAGACTGCCCTTACTCTGAGGGCACTGGACATTGATCCAAGCATGCAGATCTACATAGCTGCTGGTGAAATATATTGTGCAGAGAGGCGAATGGCAACCCTTGCAGCAGCTTTTCCAAAGCTGGTGAGTAGCTAATTGCTCTATCAGCTGGTAACTTGGCCTTGCTGCATGAGTGGTTGGTCCTTAGCTAATTGCATTATGTTCTATAAAACAGGCGAGAAAGGAAACACTCTTGGAACCATCAGATCTGAGGTTCTTTCAGAATCATTCGTCCCAGATGGCAGCTTTGGACTATCTCGTTGCATTGGAGAGTGACATATTTGTCCCCACCTATGATGGAAACATGGCCAAAGTTGTTGAAGGCCACCGCAGGTATTTTTTTCTGCATATGATTGTTTTTTGTGTCCCATGTGTTTCTTAAGAGAGGTTATAGTTCCTCCAAACTAGTACCTAGGGTTTTCGTTTGGCTTCAGACTCTCGGTTTTGGAGTACAAACTCCGGCCATGATTTAGGATTCAAGTTAAATATTACGCCCCTTTCTTTTCATTCTGGTTGTGGAATGTAGATTGTCGCAAGTCCTCTTTTGATAATTTGTTGCCTCGATTCAGAAGATGTAATGTCCTTGATGCCATTTGTTTTAATGTTAGACAATCGTGTTGCTTGGTGCATTTATCTAGGGTTGAATTTTTTGTTTCGTTTGTAATACGGCTTACAGATTTCTTGGGTTCAAGAAGACGATATTACTGGAGAGAAGGCTATTGGTTGATTTGATAGACCAGTATACAAATGGGTCAATGAGTTGGGAAGAGTTTTCGGATGCCGTGAAGGAAGCACATGCCACTAGGATGGGGAGCCCAGGCAAAAGGCTAGTGATCCCAGACAGGCCTAAAGAAGAGGATTACTTCTACTCAAACCCTGAAGAATGTCTGCAGCAGTCGGGCGAGACACTATTGAGTAGTATGTGATGATTCGTTTTGTAGGAAAGTTTAGTTAAGAAATTGGAAATTCAGATAGAAATATCTCCTCCCTCCTATGCATGGTGCTCCCATTTAGCAATGCATAGAGAAGATAGTGCACAGGAGGTGGTATGATGGCTTGGGGCTGAAGGAGTGATGAGTGGAAGGAAGGAGGCTTTTGATGAAAGCAAGCGATATATCAATGGCGTTTAATGGTGGGGAGTGTTTCCTCAATCTTCTTATTATTATGCAAATAATTCATTTCTCATTGTACAGAAGAAGAACATGAAGAAGAGGAAAGAGCCCTGTCATTACAGGGTGTGAGAGTTCTGAAATCAATGAACCAAGACCAGGGTGAAAAGAAATACTTGTACTTGAACACAGAAAATGGGGTGGGGGTATTGCGTATATATAGATCTGCTGATCCTATGCTTTTTTACGAACATTGTGTCTGTGTCCTCTACCGGAGGGGGATAGTTTAATCTTCCTTCCATTTTGTTCTCTCTTTTTTTTTTTTTTTATAATTTGTTCCACATTACCTATTGTTCTTGAGTTTTCAGTAGTGACAGTTTATTCTTCAAATCATTTAAGATTTGAGAGTTTATATATATAAAGCTAAAGTGAGATTACTGTTGTCTAAGATTAATTAATTAGTGTGCAATCTCATTTTATTTTCGTGAGAGCGCGTGGGCTATACTCGCATTCTTCCAGTTGGGTTTCACCCAGTGTTATTAAAGCCGAGCCGAGCCGCTCGGCCCGACTGGTAAAACCGCTACCCGGTCACAAAATCGGCTCGGAACAGTCTAAAAGCCGCTCCGATTTTATGTAGCGGTTGGCGAGCGGCCGAGGCGGTTAGCCGTTCGAGCCGATCGAGCCGCTCGTCCGGTTTTTGCTATTCAACCACTAAATTTAATTCAAAAAATTGTAGAAAATTGAAAAAAACCAAAAACATTGGGCTCTCAAATTGAATCCTTATTTCCATTTCACAATTTCGAAGGAAGGAGATGAGCTCTTATTTCCATTTCACAATTTCGAAGGAAAGAGATGAGCTCTGATTAAGAAATGTCCACTATTTATACTGATAACATTTATTAGGTACCGGTTCTCTAACGGTTTTTAAACGATCTAATGCCGATTGGACCACTAAAGTGCGAGCCGTTCGCATTACCGGGTCATGCTCCGGTTCGGTTCTGACAACACTGGTTTCACCCCATGGGCTTTGCACTTCTAATGGATTGATTTTCTTAACGAATTGGGCTTTAGCCTGCACTTATATTCTAATCATTAGAAGCCCATTAACAATAGAGAAAAGAAATTAAACGACTCTTCAAGAAAACAGAAAGCAGGAAGGGAGCATCTGCACTTGGAAGATGAGACAATGATGAATGGTATTCGGGAGCTGCTGACTATATTGCACTCCATCCCTCTAATATGGACTCTTTGTTTCAAATTTATTTCTAAAAAATGGTTGCATGTGGCTATAGAATTTCCATACCATAAATTGAGAATCACGATGGATGGAAATGGTAGTACAAAGAAAGAAGTGCGAGGAAAAGGATATAAAAAAACCCACTACTAAACCCAGTCATGGATGAAGAGATCTGCATGCAGGGGAACATCTAGAAGATTGAGATCTTACGGTTCTGGCAAGAGCTCTCAAAAGGAAGAAGCTTTTATGGGTGAATACCCTGTCGAGCCCCAACATATATAGATCAGACATGCAAGACTAGAATGGTAAAAATCGAGAAGTTTGGTGACGTAAGACTACTTTCTGGTTTTCTCACCTTCAATCTTTGTTTGTCGAAAAAATGGAATGAGGACTGATGAAGAAATGGGCGATGGGAAAGGGAGCATAGGGTGTTCTCATAATCTCATAGATGGTTGATGGCGGTGGGAAGTGAGAAAGGGAAATTTGGGAATAGGTTTAGTCTAATTAAGAGAGAGTGTGCGAATAACCTGATAAGGAACCAGTGGCTTACTTTTATCCGCCGGTAAGTGGCAACAAAAAAATTAAAAGTAAAATTATTATTATCATGTATTCATGTTACAAATTCTATATCATTTTATATAAATTCATTTCGTACAAATACGATAATGGGCATGGGCACAGGCCCGGGCAATTTTTTCACATGGGCCGCAACAGGGTGCGGGCTCTTTCCTAGTTATCATTTGTTCCTTACTAGTGCTGGCCTGGACTGTATTTGGTTCCCAAACCGATGTGGGTTGGAAATTGGAATGATGATTGATTGCCAACTATAACCCCATCATTAGGAGGCTGTGATTATTGCCTATAGATGTATGGATTATTTGTGGAAAAAACAGTTCTTGGCTGGAAAAAAAGTGGATGAGTTTCATGTTTTTTTATCATTAGATAATTTGTTTCATCGAGAAACAAAAGATATTCAAGTCTAAGACATCAACGCAACCACAACCATGAAACATAATCAAATCCCATCATATCTCGGGGATCTAATGAAAGGGCTTCAACCTACCAAATGAGCAACCTTGAAAAGACTACAACCCACAAATTGAGTGCCAAAATGCCGGAAGGCCAAATGTACTACTTGAATCTCTTGAAAGATAGCACCACCACGAGCATCTTGAACATCACCCTTATGAACCTTATCAGCACAATCTGGGCATCACCAAAGAAGACCATCGAGGTCCATCCTCTGTTGGAGCACCACCATAATGCTTTACTGCACAATTTAGAATAGAGCCTACCGTATCAAGAACTACCCAACCACTAACACCATGCGAGTATATGCCCGAACGATTCCATCCACATAGCAAGATAGGATGAAGTTGAAGGCAACGTGGCCGATGTGGGAAAAGTCGGCCCATCCTAGACATGAACAGTCTGATCAATTTCACACGAAACATCTAGCCATTCCTCAACCTACAAAGAAAACATAATGCAAGAATCGCACGACTGAACTGAACAAAATCAAATACAACCAAGTTATGCGACTTCCTATTGCGCCAGAGTAAGGTTACCAGCTGCACCACTTCATGCAGCCCATTCTTCGACTTCTAAAAAAACCTACGCCATAACATAACTAGATTCTCCAAAGGCAACTGATATGAATCGAGGCTAGAACTACTGGATTCAAAGTACGCAACCAACTTGATCTTCGAGTTTCCTCCAACAAACTTCAACGAAAAATAAAGATAATGATGGAACATGATCAAATAATCTCAACTTGCGAGAAGAGCCAATTGCTATTTGGGTAGAAATCGCCTACTTTAGAGTTGGATCATGACCTCTCTGATACTATGTAAAATCTACTAAAATGCGGAAGCACAATACAACAATTTACGTGGTTTCCTGTTCAATGAAAACGAGACTACTCGATGAAAAGTCAAAGCTCTCATGTTATCTTATTATTCGTAGCAGTACAGTAGGTGCGCATATATCCAGTCTCGACGCCATCCACTGCTAATATACCATGTTTACGACGTACGTAGCTCCTTAGGGTAACTAGGTTACAAAGAAAATAACAGAAAAGGTACTCAAAGATTATAAGAAATACAAAGAGGGACACAATTCAACACTATACAACAAGAATTGAATATTCTGGTAGAACGTTGTTTTGATCCAATAATAATAATGCACATTTAAGTTGTCAGGAGGGACCTATCTTGGTCACCTGAAAATTGAAAGCAATTACATGTACAATCATCATCGTCATCATTTTGGTCTCTCTATCTTTAATTGGCCAGGTAAGTTCATTTGACTATAACAAGGAGAAAGACATGAATAAACCTCACCCTCCGTAAAAATGAATTAATTCCTTAAGTAAAATGAAAAAAAAGGGTAAGATCAAAAGAGAACCAAAAAAGGAAGAATTTGGTTCAGTTTAGCTTTTAGTCTTCGGCTTCTTGAGAACTTGAGTCGTTTTCCCTTGATTGCTAAACAGTACTTCACTTTCATTATCCTATTGAGATCATATGAAGGCATAAATCTGGTTAATACCCACAGAAATCGACCGACGACAATGAGAAGACAGCGCGGGAAATTGTTGATTTGCACATACCTTGGCAATGGATGACGAAGCCATATTGGATCCCTTTCCAACCTCGATCTGTACAGAGATGCTGGCCTGTGACAAGTCCACTCCTGAACTCCGTAGTGCTTCCGTGAGATTGCTCAGTAGCCTGCATTATCCATCAATTCATTCCCAAACCCATATCTCAAACCTCAAAAAACTAAGATAGGCTTATAATTATCATTCAATTCGAATCAATCGACATGAGATTTACTGGAAGACGACACACACACACTTACCCGCGAGAGTATGCACTTGAGATACTGATGGTACCACCTTCAACATTCAGGTCTTGGTCCTTGAGGTGGTCGTCAGCGTGGACAAACCCATTAGGTCTGAAATGGCCTGGTTCTGGTTGGGATTGTTGTTGAGTTGTAACGCTGTTGATGTTCGTTTTAACCTCAAGGGAAGGTTGAGCCGAGGTACCTATGACCGGATTTAATGGGTTGGTCTGCAGTGACATTGGAAACGGCATTGCTTTATTTGGTATTCCAGAATGATGATTCATTGCTTTTGGAGTAGTAGCGGAGCTTGTATCAGAGTCGGCTGGTTTCTGCGCGCCGAGGCCGGGGATGGTGGCAGAGATTGACGCATTCTTGTCATCCAACTTTGGGTGAGCATATTGTAACCCGGATGAATTAGCATCCCCATTCGTAACTCTTGACTGGTCGACGTAACTTTCTGCACTCCTATTGTTGCTTCTCTGCTCAAGTAGAAAACAAAACATAGTAAAACAATGAGTTGAGTAGCAGCAACAAGCACCAAGCTTGATTCGGCTTCTGAACAAATTGCTTTAGCCGTAATTAGCTAGCTGCCCTATAAATGTTTTGAAGAAATCGTCTCCATCAGCGGCAGGTATGATATTTTCTTCCTTCAGGAAAGGTTTCCCCTGTTTTCCCCCATTTATTTTCTTCCATCAGCACCAAGCTTTGCGTATGCGCACGCAATTACGAGAAAAGTAAAGTAGGTAGTGTTTACCCATTGCACCAATTTTGCAGCTTCAAGGCTCCATCCCTGGTATGAGCCTTGTTCATATTTATGAACCTTGTCGTGTAGAAACTGAATGTACTCAATCACCTGGGAAAAGAAAAGAAAAGGCAGGCGTTCCAATCAAGATCAAAACCAACACCAAAATGAAAAACTGACGAACAAGAAGTGGGATCGGATTTGGGAATGAAATACATACCTCTAACAGGAATGATGCCTTGTCTCTCTTCTGATCACTATGGGGTATGATTTCTCTCAACATATGAAATCTGGAACATGAAGCCACAATTATCAACATGTTCCAGAGTCTGTAATTGGATGAATGAATGAAATTACAGTGAAGAGGAGATCGATGGTGACATGCCTGTCATTTATCTTGCTCCTCCTACGTTGCTCGGTGGCAGAATGTTTTGACCGTGGAGTGTTAACTTTCTGGTCACAGCTCTTGCCATCAACTCTTACATTCAAGTCCGCTGGCAAGTTAACAAGAAATATGAGGCGAGAAAGAGGCCAGAACATGGCACAAGACCGTATTGCCCGGCCGCATTCTACATAACTCATCAATCAGCAGACATACCTTTGCCTGGGCTTTCTTTCTTAAGAATGAAATCCTCCTCATCGTCCAAATCTTCATCAACCTTAGTTGACTTCATCATTTCCATAAAGCTCTTTCTCTTGTGCCCTGCTGCCCTGATAAAGATGGCAATTTTCAGTGGTTCGGAGAAAGCTGTACAAGTGAAGACAGACAAGACGAGGAAAAACAGAATGGGGGAGAAAGCGACGAACTGAGGAGGAGAAAGAGAGCTGAAATGGTTGCTGTGGTAGTTCATTGATGGCCTCGCTTCTGTTTGTTTACCTGCCACACCAAAAGTAACGTCAGCCAGAACTGGTACCTAGTCTAGTCTAGTCTAGTCTAGTCGGTTAAACAAAACCCACGAAATGGAAGTGTATACATATTGATCATCAACAAAATATTTATTTAGAGTGTGGTACAATTTACCGATCCATAATAGGTTACTGCTCTACGGTCATCCAAAATAATCATCTGATTTATCAGTGATTACATAATTACTGGGTAGTTGGGAACCGTAGGGCTGCAAATGAGTTGAGTTGTTGTCAGCGGCCCGGCGTTCGACTCGGAAAAAGTTTGTTCGAAACTCGGCTCGTTTATTAATGAGTCGAGCTTGAGCTTAGCATTCTGCAGCTCGCGAGCTAGCTCGACTCGGTGTCTTGTTGAGCTCAACTCGTGAGATGACTCGTTTAGAGCTCATGAGAGATCCTAACTCTCAACATTGTGACTTGAGAGCCAACTCGATTATCGAGTTATAAGCTAATCGATCTATATGAGTTTCATTTTGATAATTCAAAGGATCATTAAATTATATATCTCACCCTATATGAAGTTTAACACATAGATTATGTGAGCAAATGTCTTATTTAATTTTAAAAAACAATTATATATCATAGATTGCTTCGATACTATGAAATAACACAATTTTACTAGTTAAAATTTATTAACTAAATAATTTGATACCACAGTATAACATGAGATTAGTTAATATTGACCACTTAACTGTTATTATTATTTTCTTCATCTTCACATTTTTTGGTAGTCAATATTTAAGAAGAAGAAAAGTGCATATACATAGCGCAATAATTTTAAAAACAAGACTCGACTAGTGGATCAATTTTATAAAAGACCAATTCGTATTTTAGTTTATTGGAGAGAATAAAATCCACTAGGGGTAATCACAGCTCAATACTCTCATATGTAGTATGTCCATAGAGCAAAAATGACGTAAATTTAAGAAACTCAAGGTCGTTCACATGGTATATTTCTTCCATGGTTGAACGAATAATAACACACATGCATGGAGTTATGGATGACAATTACACATCTATGGTAAATATATCCAAACCCAAATAACTAATTTATTATGTGTAGGACATTGTTGAAGTATATATATGGGTCTGAGAGTTTGTAATAGGTTTGGGTTAGATATGGTGTCAGTGATGACAATTACTCATCAATGGGTAAATTTATCCAAACCCAAATAACTCAATCATTATGTATAGGGTATGGGTGAAGTATATATGGGTTTTGGAGTTTGTGTATGGGTTTGGGTTGTATTTGAGTATTGCTTCCATACATTAAATGAGCATGGGTTGGGTATATGCCAATTTATTTGAGGTTGTTTTAAACATAAAAAATTGGACCTATTTGTAACACTTAAAAGTTAAGGTGTCAAAACGTAAAGCACAAAAATTTAATTACTAAAATATAATTTTCCATCAATATTCAGGACTTATGTATAAATATTTTTTGAATTTAGGGTATGTAAAGTTCTATTAGTTTAGTTACCAAATTATAAATTGCATATGGGTATGGTACAAACTCAAACCCTGGATTAAAAACTCAACCCAAATAAATGGATATGGGTATAAATCCATCAAACTCTACCCATTTAACCTGTATTTGGATTTCATACGAAACTCAATTGGTTGGATAAGAAAATATCCATAGGTTTGGACAAAATTGTCATCCCTAACAGGGGCGGGGTCAGAGTGTGCTCTGGTGCCTCGACCGGGGAGTATTAGGGCTCGTTTGGAGAATCGTATTCTAAATCTCTAGATTATCAACAATCTAAAGATTATAATTCTGTGAATTATGGAGAAAAATAATTTAAAAAATAATTTGGTAATTGTGATAGTTGACATCCAATTAAAATATAAATTCTAATTATTTATGAAATGACATTTTTATCCTTAACCAAAAGAATTAAAGTAACACAAAAAAATTAGAATTTATTTGTAAGGTTCTTTAATGGATTAAAAAAAACAAAAATAGATAGTAAGAGAAAAAATCTCACAAATCAAAATATAATGAGAGATTTGATGTCTATAGATTTTATGAATTTGAAATTTCTGAAACTAAAATTCGTAATACAAAAGGTAGCAAAAAAAAACATTATTTTATGTAAAAACTATGGATTGAATGAATTTATGGTACAAATCTTTTTCTCCAAATGAGTCCTTAATGTATTTCTCGTATTTGGGTGTTTGATAAATAAATATTAAATATAGAAACATGAATTTCAAAATATAATCAAAGTAGTGTATATGATTAATATGTTGTTAAACAAATAAGAGGTTTGAAGTTAAAATTTTATCTCATGTAAGTTTTATTATCTTATGGTGAAATTAAACTTCATTTTTTTATCTTACTTCAACTTTTCTCATTTAATAAAAATAGGTTTTATTTTTATTTGATTTTATTTCCCTGGTATTGATTTTGTAATTTTAAATCAACTCTCGCAGTTGAAATTAGAGAATAATTATAATCAAACATTAATTATATATTATTTTGCAAAATGAAAGCAATTGTATTTGGTAAATGGACTCATCTTATTAGTTAATCCCTAGCATGGAGAAACACGTACAAGGAGGAAAGGAAAGAGAAAAAACAGGGAGATGGAGTTAGGTACCTATTAGGAGGGCGTTGGAGGTGTGGGTCATATTCTTATTCTCCTTCCCTGTCTTTCCCTTGTTGAGTGCAGATTCATCCCAAAGGGTGAACCCACTTCCGGTTCCGGTGTAACAAGTAGAATTGGAAGTCTCATCGTTTGTGTCGACAACAGTGGTAGTGGTTTGAGGGGGTTGGGGATTCAAATATGAAACATGGTTGATTGTGTACGTCCCAATACCTCCAGGAAGTGTATGTTCCACGGAAGTTGCTTGCTCGCCCTCGCCCTCGCCCTCGCCTTCTTCCTTGGCTACAGCGGCGCAAGGTGGACCACCGCCTCCCCGTTCTAGTGGTTGAAGAAAATCGTGAGTCTTGAGGTAGCCACCTACTCAAGCATCAAGGGAACACAAACATATGAATAATTAAATATTATTCATGTTAACTAGTCAGTCTAACTCGGGCTCTACCTATGTAAATGTGAAACGAGCAAGGATGGCCTGGCCGTGTTTAGCATGCATGCACAACAATCAGTCATCAAAGAGAGTGAGTGAGTAGAGTATATCACTGGTTTTGGCTTCCCCCGACAAGGACAACCCTTTTTCTTTGGTTTTCATTCCCGGTGAAAGCTTGGTTACCGGGATCCAGGCTAGAGATGCAAAAATATCTGTAACCGTGGATATCCGTCCGAATTCGATCTAATCAGTTAGGGTAAAAGTCGAACCTGAAGGACATTTAGCGGGTATGAGTAAAACCCGAACCTGAATATTGCGGGTAATGGGTGGGCATGGATTTCTCACTATCCAGCCCGAACCTACCCGATTATACACATGGACATGTATTTTGTCTAGAAATAATCATTATTTTCTCTAACATATTTTATACTTAGCATATATATATATATATATATATAATATTTTCATGAAATTTTGTCGTTTTAATTAATTTTATTTATTCTGGTGAAGTATTGTTGTACTTTTCCTCTTAGGTAATGTGAGAATATGTATGAATGTTAACATATTGGTAAGAGTTATGAAGAGAAATTATTACCCATGGATAACCGTGGATATCCAAAACCCAAACGGGTTTCGGCATGGTTTTGATTTTTTACTCATTTCACATGTGGGTATGGGTATGGTTAAAACCCGAACTAATTTGGATAGGGTAATTGATATGCACTATCCGCCGCCGACCCGACCCATTGACATCCCTAATCCATGCAGTTGCAATGGAAATCAAAGCATAATTATTCCTACCCTCCCTATCTAATTAATATGATGAACCGTAACCCACGATTCAAGGGTTTTGCTTGTAATTCACAAGCGAGAGAAAGACTTGGTGTCTATAAACCTTTGATTTATTTGATTGATACGTAGCTAATATCAAATGTACTTATTTACAGGCTTAGAAAAGCCTATTACTTAACCTAACTCTAACCGAAATCCTTCTCCTACTCGGCTACTCCAACCCCAAATTCAAAGAAAACTTACAACGAAACACCCACGCCCAAAAATAAAAAACCCAAACCGAAAATACTATCATCATAATGTTAGAAGTGTAGGTACCAATTTGTAATTGTACATATAAGTGACGTGAGCTGGGATTAGGGTTGTAGGTTGGCCGAGTATATATATATGTTGTGATGGCTAACCTACGAAAGAAAACACAGAAAATAAAGATCGATCTCTGCCTTGTGCCGTGGACTAGTCTTGACGATACTCGTCAAGGAAACCACGTAAATCCGTGTCTCTTCTCTCTCGTATTCGTGTGTTCGTATAATTATCATGGTATCAGAGCCTCAGGATTCTTGATTACGCCTGAAGTTTTGGGTTTCGTGGATTTGTGCGTCTGTTCTGCTATTCGTGTGTCTGTTTGGGGTTTATACAGCGGCTGTCCCTTGTTCAGCGTACCTGGAAATTTTGGGTGTGTTGCTTCTCGGTTGTATTGTTTTTGGGATTGATTCTTGAGGTTGGGTGCTGTGCGATCTTTTGTTCATTGTGAAGGGGCTGTGTGCTTTTGTTCGGAGGTCATGGAAGGATTTAAATCTGATGTTGTAGGGGTTCGCTTTAACGGCAAGAATTATGCACTATGGGAGTTCCAATTCAGGCTCCATGTGCAAGGGCGCCGATTGTTTTCGTTTCTGGACGGGACTGCTCTCCCACCCGCGGCTGATGCCGCTGCTAAGGAACGGGACGATTGGGCCGCCAACAATGCTACGGTGATGTCTCTGCTGTTGGGATCGATGGAGCCTGGAATTGCTCTTAGCTTACGCGGTCTGCCTACGGCGGCAGCGATATGGAAGCATATGGCCGATCTGTACTCGAAGGCGAGCGCCTCTCGCAAATATGATATCGAAGTTGATATGGCGGCGCTGAAACAAGGAGAGCTGGATATTAGTTCATATTATCAGGAGGCAATGACGTTGTGGACGGAGCATGACCTGATCATGAGCTCTCTTGTTCCAGCGGCGGCGACGTCGGATGTTCTCAAAGAGAGGGCTGGCTCGCGCGTTATGCATTTCCTAATGAATCTTCGGGCTGAGTTCGAGGGGATTAGGGCTTCACTACGGCATCGTGATCTATCTACCATTGAGGATGTTTTACCTGAGCTTCTTCGCGAGGAGACTAGGTTAAAGAGTCAAGCTAAGCTTGACATTCATGCTTCCGATCCTGGCGCGGCATTTGCGGTGCGTCAAGGTCGTCCACAGTTCGCTCGCACTCCATCAGGCGTGATCATATGTCACTTTTGTAAAGAGCCGGGTCACATTCAATTTCACTGCAAGAAAAGGAACAATTGCAACTATTGCAAACTTGATGGCCATCTCATCGCCGACTGCCCAACATTGGCGCAGCGGGGTCGTCATCGCAATGCTGCCGGGAATTCTCGTTATCGTGGTAGCTCGCGTCCCCGACCTGCTGGTGGCGCCTATGCAACTACTGTTGCTGAAGCTTCCTCGCCTGGCATGTCCCCAGAAGATGTTCAGAAGCTTGTTCAAGAGGCGTTGAAGGAGGCCTTCGCATCGGGTATGCATTCTTCCTTTTCTAGTACTTGGCATTTAGACTCAGCAGCTTATAACCATATGACCAGTGATCGTCGTCTATTTGCCGAGCTTAGTTCCTCTACTCCGGCCCTTGATTTACAAGCTGCTGATGGGTCTCGTATGCACATTAATGGGTCTGGTCGTGTGGTTCAGCCCCATATCTCTCTCCCTAATACATTATACGTTCCTAAGCTCGTTCCCAACCTAGTCTCGGTCGGTCAATTAGCTGAAGACGGGTGCCGTGTTATGTTTGATGAGGCTGGCTGTGTTGTGCAGGACAAGAAAACGGGAGTGGAGATCGGGCGGGGGAGTAAGAAGGGTCGGGTTTATCTGTTGGACAGCATCTCGAAGATAGGAGGGGAGGCCGAGGGCTGCTCTGGGCAAGCGACCGAAGTTAGCATGAAGAGTTTAGTTGATGCGTCTGGCAGTAGTAATATTATTTCATGTTCTGGTTTTTCAGCGGAATTATCAAACTGGGATTTGTGGCATTTTAGACTGGGTCATCCCCATTCAGCAAGACTTCGTACTATGTTTGATAATCATTGGTTGTCGGGATCTATTTCTGGGAATAATTCACATGAGTGTGTTCATTGTTTACAAGCTAAGATTTCGCAGAAGTCGTTTACTGCTAGTGATACGATATATGCTGAACCTTTTGAGTTAGTTCACACTGATTTGTGGGGGCCGTCACCAGTGACATCGCGACTGGGTTTTCGTTATTTTGCATTGTTTGTTGATCAAGCTACCCGGTTTACCTGGGTGTACTTCTTACGGCAGAAGTCAGAACTATTGACAGTAGCTCGAGAATTTGTGCAGATGGTGTCTACTCAATTTGGTAAGGTGATTAAGATCTTGCGCTCAGATCCGGGAGGTGAATTTTCTTCACATTCACTCATGGCCCTATTCAGAGAACGTGGCATACTACAACAACTATCGTGTCCTGGAGTCTCTCAGCAGAACGGACTGGTCGAACGGAAGCATCGTCACGTTCTTGAGCTTACCCGAGCGATATTAATTCATTCACAGGTACCATCAGGATTTTGGGTCGAGGCAGTTCATACGGTGGTCTATCTCATTAATAGACAAATCACCACGACTCTCCCGCAACGAAGTCCGTATCAAGCTCTTTATTCCCGTCTACCTAATTATGGATGGTTGCGTGTGTTTGGGTGCATATGCTATGTGTTGGTATCTCGGCGGGAGCGAACTAAGCTCACTCCTAAAGCAGTTAAATGTGTGTTTATCGGTTATAGCGATAAGCACAAAGGCTACGTCTGCTATGATGTTGCCAAAAGACGAGTCCGAATATCATGTCATGTTAAGTTCCTAGAGCATCAATCATATTATGGGACGTCGAACACCTACCCAACCGGTTCGGAGCTTGACTTCTTGGCTGATACTTGGCCTCTTGATATAGAGAATGTATCGGCAGACCCTCCAAATGACCCAGGTGATGATGACCATGGCCAAGATTCACCCCTTTCCGCCGCCTCAGACTCTTCACCCAGCACACACTCGTTCGTTTCTTCCTCGGCGGATGATGTGTCCTCTACCTCGTCACATTCGCCAACTACCTCAGCAACATCATCTTCGTCCTCTTCTTCCGGGTCAGCGTCCTCACCAATTCCCTTTGAGCTGGCCGAACAAGTTGAGGAGCCCATTCTTCGCCGCTCTACCCGTGTTACCAGAGGTAAACCACCGGCCCGTCACAATGATTTTCTAGCCTATTCCACATCCTCCATACATGTGCCAGCAACATACAAACAAGCTAAAGGAGTTGAGCGGTGGGAGAAGGCCATGGACGTCGAGAAAGATGCTCTTGAAGCGTCACGTACGTGGGATCTAGTGGAGCGCAAACCTGGTATGTCAGTTATCGGTTGCAAGTGGGTATACACTCTTAAGATGTTGCCCGAAGGTACTGTGGAACGAGAAGAGGCAAGGTTAGTGGCTCAAGGGTTTCGACAAGAGTACAGGGTTGATTATGAAGAAACCTTTGCACCAGTAGCAAAGATGCAGACGGTCCGAAGTCTATTGGCGGTGGCAGCAATGAAGAAATGGCGGTTATTGCAGTTAGACGTGAAAAATGCATTCTTACATGGCGATTTAAAGGAAACCATCTACATGGAACGTCCACCGGGCTATACACGGGGTGACAATACTATGGTTTGTCGTCTACGTCGCTCATTGTACGGGCTTAAACAAGCTCCCAGGGCATGGTTTGAGAAGTTTCATGCCACCATTGTTCAAGCTGGTCTTGTACAGAGTGAGAATGATCTGTCACTCTTTCTTCAGTCCACTAGTAGAGGTCTTACGGTACTTCTGATCTATGTAGACGACATGGTGGTGACTGGTGATGATAGTGTTGGTATTGACGACTTGTTACTGGTTCTGCGCTCGGCTTTTAATCTCAAGGAACTTGGGGATCTCTCTTACTTCCTTGGACTGGAAATTCATCGTTCTCCTGAAGGCCTTCATGTTGGTCAACGAAAGTACATTGTAGACTTACTTGAGGAAGCTGAAATGGATGATTGTCTCGCCTGTAATACTCCCATGGAGCAGAATCTTAAACTACGGCAGTTGGAGGGTGAATTACTACCGGATGGCTCACTATATCGGAGTATTGTGGGGAGTCTCATTTATCTGACACATACTAGACCTAATATATCGTATCCTGTACAGATTGTGAGTCAATTCATGTCAGCTCCACGCAAGCCTCACTGGATGGCTGTTCAGAGAATTTTGAGATATCTGCGAGGTACCCAGGAGGTCGGACTGTTATTCCCAACTGAAGGGAAGCCAATTCTTGAAGCTTATTCAGACGCTGACTATGCAGGTTGCCAAGACACTCGTCGGTCTACCTCTGGGTGGTGCATAAAGATCGGTAATTCCTTTATCTCTTGGAGGTGTAAGAAACAGGATCGAGTATCCAAGTCATCTACTGAAGCTGAATACCGTTCCATGAGCGAAGTGTCCTTTGAAATTGTTTGGCTGCGCAGGTTATTGGCAGAGCTCGGAGTTATTTGTCAGGGTCCAGTTCGACTGTTTGTTGACAATACGAGTGCAATTCGTATTGCAACTAACCCAGTGCTACACGACAGGACAAAGCATATTGAAGTGCACGTTCATTATATTCGTCAGCTTGTAGCTGAAGGCATTGTGGATCTTACCTACGTCACGTCCGAAGACCAGACTGCTGATCTTCTGACTAAGGCTGTGTCTACTCCTCGTCACTGGTTCCTAGCACACAAATTGATGTTGCGACAGCTACATCAATTTGAGGGAGGGTGTTAGAAGTGTAGGTACCAATTTGTAATTGTACATATAAGTGACGTGAGCTGGGATTAGGGTTGTAGGTTGGCCGAGTATATATATATGTTGTGATGGCTAACCTACGAAAGAAAACACAGAAAATAAAGATCGATCTCTGCCTTGTGCCGTGGACTAGTCTTGACGATACTCGTCAAGGAAACCACGTAAATCCGTGTCTCTTCTCTCTCGTACTCGTGTGTTCGTATAATTATCACATAATACGACCACAACCATCATGGTAAGGCATTCTGTTTAAAGTTAATCCCTCTTTTTTTTTTTTTTTATCTTTTCCTAGTTTCCAAGATAGATATAGCTGATCAACACCTAGCCTAGCTAGTTGCATGAGAGTCTGAGTTACAGCTATAAAAAAAATGTATATATTTGAGACATTGAGTTGCCGCTAAACTTTTATGCGGGAATCCAGGAGTCCTATGTTCTATTTCCATGAAAGAAAAGGGGTACATTTTCTTATTATTGGGTCAGAACTCAGAACTCAAAACATTATCTGAAGGTTTGATTTGAAGAAGAAGAAGTTGAGGTGAGGTGAGGAGAAATGTGAGTGATGAGCGCACTTGTAGTTGTAAGAAACACAGCAAACACACGCGGACACGGGTAAAAAGAGAAGAGAGGTCCTAGGGTAGGGTGGGTGTTAAAAATAAAAAATAAAAAAAATGTTATTGATGCTAAGTTCCGTCCACTCGCTGGTTGTGGTTGTGGATGCTAAGTTAAGTGGTAGAAAGCAAAGTGGTACATCCAGCGTCTCTGTCTTTCTCTTTCCTTTTCGGATTTGGCAAAAGAAAACAAACAACACCATTTCCAGGCTGGCCCCACTGCCGCACAATCCCACCACCACCCCCACACTCCCAGATCCCATCCTTCAATTGGAGTCACGTGCACTTGACAAACCAAACCATCCATCGTGATTGCCAACCACCAACCCTAACTTTTAAAGTTACAGGGTAGCCTCATCCTTGCCTTGTTTTGTTTTCAGAAGCCCAAGGCGAACCCTCGTTCTTAATCTGCTTGCTTTTTTTATCCGATTTCAAACTATTTGGAAATACAAGACAGGTTCATTTTTTATCTACAAAATAGTATTCACCCTGATCTAAGGTGGTAAAAGGTTAGTAAATGATAGATTAATATATTTCTATTACACTAGTAGATATGTTACCAAATTGTATCTATATCACCATAAACGACTAGCTCATCATAATTCACGTGACACAGACAATTTCATAAGTTTCAAGGTGAACAAAAATCAAATTATAGTTCACAAAAAAAAATATAGATATATATCTTCCGTCCAAGTGAGAAGATGGGGCTCAAAGCGAGTTTTGTCGTAAACAGATAGAGAGAGAGAGAGCACCTTGGGGTTGATGAGAAGGTGGCCTGGGGCTGACATCTTGTAGGCTAGTCGTTGAATGACTAGTGTAGAGCGAGAGAAAGTCGTGTGTTGGTTTCCTTCCTCCTGCGGAAATAAACATTTTCCTTAATCAACACAACCACCAATCCAGATAACAATAATGGACTGGACTGGACTGCTGCTTAATTGCTTCTCCATTTGAAAACCAGAAAGTTAAAAACAGAAGCAAAATGTAATTTAGACTAAGACAAGAGAGTACCTTCGGCACCGAAACTAGGACGCTGAGGAAGCTCCATTTCAACTGGGACCAACTCTTTTTTTTTCTTTTTGGAACTTCTTCTCTTTACTTTCCGAATTTACCCTGCCCGAAATTCACTGATCCATACATCAAGCGCTCAAACTAAGAGCCACTCGAGCTTAATTGGCTGGGCAGAGAATTTGAAAGATCGTCCCCAATTTCTCCTCCTTCTCAGACCTGCCTTCACCACAATCTCGGTTACGGCCGGAAATAGGGAGCCGCATTCGCACCAAATTCAGCTTTCTAGGATGCTCGCCGGACGCTAAGATAATAATTCTGCCAAACCAACTGGCCAGCTTCCAGAACCGAATTCCGCTTATTTCCAAGCAAAATCCTACTTCGCCGGCCGCGGAGCCATAAATTCTTCCACTCGCCGACCCCAAATCAGCAGAATTCCGTCGCCTGAAGGTGAATTAAGTTTCACAACACACAGGAGGAGGAAACCTTAATCACAGTTATGGGGGGGGGAAAATGAAGTCGACGAATTACACAGAAACTCCAGTCATAATTCACACACAGCAGCAGCAGACGGCAAAGGCAAGATCGAAAAGAAAAGAGAGAAACGGAAGCAACTACCAGCTAGAATAGAAATCTACCTCTGATCTGAATTATGGGAATTCGGGTGGAGCTCCAGAGAAGGAAATCGATTATTTTGGCGGAAGTAAACCCGATAATGCACTCGTCCAGAATTTTTTATCCAAATTCTTCTGTCTCCCTCCTCTCCTTAATTTTTCTTTCTTTCTAGCTTAGTTTTTCTTCCTCTCCCCTGTTTTTCCAAGAACAAGCAGTGCTCCAAAAGAAAAGGCCGGAGAAGAAGAAAGCAACTCCTTCTCTTTCTCTCTCTTGCGGCGCGCTTACTTGCATTGATGTTTTATATACAGTATTCTATTCTGTTCCTTTTTACCCTTGGCTTTTGCTTCTCTCCATCTATCTTCGCCGTTATGTTGTGAGGAAACGGCGTTTCTGTTGCGGCGGAGATGAGTGACGGTGTCAGGGTGGGGCAATTTGGTCTTTGTGGCTTATCAAATTTAATATATAGAAAGAAATCATATCATCATTGGCCAAAGGAAGGGAAGAGGGATGCATCGTCCGCAGTCGCAGATGCTGCTTTATTTCTTGCGTTGCGTTGCCTCTGGTTGGTTGGGGGCGGGGTGTGAGTTGACAGTCACGGAACTAAAATATTTTACTTTGTGGGTTGTCAGTTTTTTAGTGTTTCCCGTTTATGGCGATCCCGATATTGTTTGATGATTTCTTAATATTTGTTTTCTAAACAACTCCCCTTAGGTTAGATTTTACATTGAAATGTCATTAAGAATATTTTCCTTTCATATAAGTCACTAATCTAAATGTCTGCTTCATCTTTGTCATTTGTAGTTCAATTTCATTAACGGCATCAACTAAATTATATGTTTGATCACTCAGATTATCAATTCATTTATACATGTCATCGTAAATATTTTTTTCTTATCACTTGTCGTCAGCGGCGGATCCAGGATACAGTAGAGCACTGGGCCGAATTTCATTAGAAAATTAGATACCGTAAAAAAATTACAGTGTTTTTTACAATTTCAATTGTTCACATTGATCTTTTAAATTTTAATATAGTGAATTCATCAATAATAGAGTTTACATCCATACCAATAGCATACTCTCTTTAAGATAAAAATAGTTAAACCAACTGGCGAGAAATTCGTCGCTCATTTTGTTACACACATAATTTTTCACCTATTTCATTGTTGAAAAGGTTCTCTCCATAGTAGTTGAAACGAGCAATGTCAATACTGGACAAATCAATCGACTAATCAATATATATATATATATATATATATATTGTGTATCAATTCTTATTTTCACCAGCTGCTCTAGTAATTTCTTAAGGGAATAAACCTCAAATTTCTTTTAGTCTTTTACTTTTTAGAATTTTAGGTTTCATTTTGTGTTTCTTTAAATGAGAATCATTGGAGCTAGAATTTTCAAGCTAAATTTAGAGTTGCGATTTGAATATGTTCATCTTGCAACTTTTCTAATTACACACAATCTTATTATAAATTAACACTGGGCCAAATGGCTAAAATCGATAAACTTATAAAGACTATACTAGCTCCGGGTCCAGGGGAGGGCTGGGCCGTGGCCCGGGGTGGCCACCCCCTGGATCCGCCACTGCTTGTCGTCAAATTCCATTTAACTTCATCTATGTGGCAGTCAGTCAATAGTGATTTTTTTATTATCAAGTAGTTGAAGTGTCTAATAAAAAACTAATAAATAACTATCTTTGATTTTTTGTTTATTGGTTGAGGTGGGAACAGATTAGCCGGATAATCCTTTCAGATTGGAAACTTAAAGTGCTTACATTTTATAGACCGGAGCGCAATCGAAACGTCTTACCAAAGTATTCCCAACGGGGATCTTTTGGTTTGACAGTCTGGAATTTATTGACCTCCATTCCCATGAGATCACTGCCCCCGTTCCGGAGACTCCAACCCTAGAGTCGAAAGTTGGTCGAAAGGGTGAAAAATCAAGTCAATGGGTGGAAGCAGCAGCAGATCACGATGGAAGTTGTGAGTTCACGATCACTAAGACCGTGAACTGGAGTCGCTAGCCCTAAACCGCCAAGCATCCAGGCATATTTCAGTCTCACTAGACTCATGTCAGTTCACGCTCGCAAGACCATGAACTGAGGTCATTTCCCGTGAACTGGACTAAGTGATGCAACATATTTTGACTTGAGATCATGGTCCGTGCTTTCAATTCTTGGTCGTGAACTGGAACCGTGATCTGAGCCCGATCTGGGTATAAAAGGAGGCTTGAGTTGAATGAAAAAGGAGGGAGAGACCTAGTATGAGAAACTTCTTCTTCTTCTTCTTCTTCTTCTTCATATTTCTAGAGTGAGAAAGTGACAAACCAACGAAGAGAAGAAACTAGGGTTTCATCTTCAAGCAAGGATTTGGGAATTCCTCCCTCAAAGGAGGATCTCTTCAACACAAGGAGCAAAGCTAGCATCTCTATGATGGTTTTCCTTCTTCACTCTTGTGTTTTCCCTTTTCCTGGCATGGAGTAGTCCCTTATTTGTAAACCCTAGATATAATTATGTGAATGTTTGTATGAATTAAATAATTTGTGTGTGGATGTGTTTTAGCGTGAATTTAGAGGTATTTTCATGAAAGATTGTGTTGTGTGATTGCCTATCAATCTATTTGCCATTCTAACCTAGGTAGAGAGAAAACCCATTTTCTTTGAAAGAGGCTTGTAAAGTTGGGTTTTCTTAGGCAAATCATTGTCTCCTATCTAGGTTGATGTAGGGTAGGGATGGCAATGGGTCGGGTTAGGTTGGGTTTTGCCAAACCAAAACCCAAACCCATGGGTTTATCCGTGAAAAAAACTCGGGGTAAAACCCCACTACAAGAAAACCTAGATTTAGAGACAAATAATTAGAGACAATTATAGTATTAGTCTCTATATCTAAACAATAGATGCAAATATGTTATTTGCTTCGATATGTCATGTTATTTGTTTCTGTATCTTATTATTCTCTTAAATTTTATATGAAATAAATTAAATTAATAGTTTTAGAGACAATTATGCTATTTGCTACTATATAATATATTGCACGTCAAAACAAAGCATGTATGGAGATAGATAAAATTGTTTTCAAATATTTTTGTGTTATAAAAATTTTATTTAATAAATTTTATAGTTAGAAAATGGAGAGACTGTCTTTCC